TGTCTTACGTCCCAAATAGGAAGCTGTGTTCCTCGCCCCAAAAAGAATTACGTCCACGTGCTCAAACTCAATCAAAGCAACCTCTGCACGATGAAGCAGCTTTTGGCAGTTTATTTACGTTGTGGTAAAGATAAGTTGCTTCGATATCTTGTCGTTCAGTACAGTTGTTCCCCTGAGTTCTATTTTTTTTATCCCTGTTAACATATTGAGCCAAAGACGGACTTGCCTTTCGGTCTTTAAGGGCAAGCGCGTCTGTCAAAGTGCGTGCCCAAGGCCAGGGTGGGATGCATTCTGGTTCCCTGCCCAATATTTTCCCGCCGGAGGATGAGGCTATGGAGAGGATGCACGTTGATCAGGAAGATCCGGAGGCCTGGCTGCTCGTTTCACAAGTTATGAGGTAAGAGATTGGTGCCGATACTGTTCGGTGTAGATTGTTGCTCCGTTTGTTCGATATAAAGTTGTCTCTGCGTGGAGACAGTCGAGGTTGTCCTTACCGTAGTTCGTGAACATGGGCTTGCTCCTTTTGGGTGACCGACAAATGCAAATACAGTGCTGGACATCAAAGAGAATCAACTTAAGCTCACTGGAGCGCATTTGTTTGGGGGAGAGCGGGGAATACCGAAGAGTGGATTGTTTCATGCAGCTCCAGACTTAACAAGTAAACACCTATATTCTTCTGTTTGTAAATCAGTTTGACTTTTTATGAGTGTATCCAACAACGAGGGGCGAAAATGTACTGGAATGCGGACAGCATTCACCATGTCGCAGTACCGCGTAGCTCATGGTCCACAAGTTACCGATTGTCTACAACTGGCTTAATTCACACCTGATTATACACAAGACGGAAGCGGCCCTAGATGCGGCAACTGCGCTGCTTGTTTCCCACAGTCGCGCCGAGAGGTCCATATCTAGATCAGCAGAAGCGCTTCGTATTTTCTTGTTTCCTATCGTCAGGCGAGTTACAAGTCAGCACACAGTAGATGTCCTGCCTCAGGATATGTTAGTCGAAATCCTGCAATGGGTTTTCGATTAAATTTCTTTACGTAAGTGGACTTGTAATATTGCTTATCGTTCAGCATAATCCCAAGATATTTCAATCACGTCAGGACGCCGTCTTTTGAACGAGCTGCTTTCCGACCGCCTTCAAAGACTGCAGTCCACTGAAAGCGACTACAAAACTAGTAAACTTTTTTACCCGTTGATTCTCAAAAAAGATCCTAGAAGATATGCATAAAAGTTCTTTTTTGTATTCACTTGGTAGCAAATTACGTCTTCTGCAAGCTTGAAAGCAAATAGGTATTTAAGGGGAAAAATGAGCAACTTCTCCAAAGTGCATACTCGAAGAACGGGTGATTTTCGGTTTAAAAAAACTTTATAAATTCTTGACTCCATTTGAACATAACCTGCTGCATTCGGGGTTTCAAAACTATAAACTTTACATTTTCAATGTAAAATCATCGCAAATTTATATACGCTACTAAGAAAGCTTAATATAGTGCTTGCGAAATGTGGCATTAAATGTAGACCATATAGCGTACAAGTAGCAAGTGGCACTAATAACTGGAAAGATCCGATGCTTTCTCAGTGGATATTACAGGCTCCTAACAAACTTCATAAATAGAAATGATTTTAACGTCAGAAAAACCCTTTCTTTAAGTATAAAATAGGAAGAAGACGTAAGTTGCCGCCGAATAAGAACAAAAAGAAATATATTTATACACACGTAAATATATCGGATAATTAAAAGTTAATGGAAACCTGCATGCTAATTAAGTAGCCATACTTTCCAGGGTCCTTCTTTGTTGGGAGCCGGGATGAAGCTTTTTCAAAAGCCGGCATCCTGATATGGCTGAAAACATTGGGTTCTGCATTACGATAGTTATTATTACAATCCTATTTGGGTAGACTTTACTAACCCAAAAAGGTTTAAGAATTTTGTGTGACATTTCACACGATACCATACTACTGTACTGAGAAAAACAGTTTTTATTTCTTTGGCAAAGGTAATTTAAGTAGTGCACCTCATATACCCCTAGTATTAGCATTTTGTCCTACGGAAGCGTTTTTATAGGTGTTTTTGGGGTGGGAAAATAAGATAGACAGTGAAGAAAATTTGTAGAAGTTGGTGTAAAGTGGAAAAATGTGGTTGAATTTGTTTCCCCTGCCGCTGGGAGTAAGTTGTTCCGCAGGTAAATTGAATGTGCGCGTGGCGCTTAGCGCCGCGGCCTTTCCTAATCTAACTCCAGAACGTGAGTTGGACCTCAGGTAAGTTGAAGTAGACGACCTCCTAACCACCATTTCTTTTTTTTCAGGAATTTAAAGAGGCCTGTATTTTGATAATCGGGTTTTCCCGCAATATGTTAAACGATAATACAGATTAGGAAAATTTACGGATATAAATCAACAACATTTTGAAATACAATAAGATAAAAATGCATATAGCAGTTATTAAAGTATATACCACTGCCTATCCTAATTCCTCACCCACAAAAAATCTATAACTATCGTTTTCGTAGAAAAATGAATAGGGGTATATGAGGTGCACTACCTAAAGTACCGTAGCCATGTATAAGCGTTCAGGCCACTGACGTTTCCCGAAACTGACTTGATTCAGTCCATTTGCAATAGGACACGATTCTCGTAAATGTTAATGCCAAAGTCTGTCAGTGTTTTTGAACAGAGTTACACCTCCTATGGGATCTTGAATCTGACATGTTCTGCCGCATAATCGCTCTGTGGCGGTTGACTTACCCGAAACGGCGGTAAATATATGCTTTGTCTTAACTAGCGACTCTATCCGAACTTTTTTGCTATTACTCCAGTACCTACGTTTCCTAGCTGCTTACTTATAAGTTTCAAAGTCAAAAAATCAATTCAGCTGCGTTAGGGAGGTGAGGCACATACATGTTCTGGTATGGTGCCCAGAGTCTTTCAACTTGTTCCTGGATACTCATGGTCCGAATAACTTTCGTTTTCGCAACTGTGCAGGCTATAAGCGGCACGTCAATGTGGTAGTCAGATGTTCCAGATAACGACTGTTAACTAAATTGTTTTGAAATATAAACGACAGGTGGTCACATAAGAGAACCGCGGAGAACAAAACTGTCGCTGTAACGTTTGACTTCACTAGATGTATCCAGGGAACTGACTAAAAACAGTATCAGCCCTGAGACTGCTATGCAACCACTGGGCTCTAAAGTGAGGTTAGCGTCTTAAATTTCAATGAACTTGGTAAATGAGGTTACAACTTCATTTAGCCCCCAGTGGTTTGTTGCAAAAAACAATTTAAACGTTGATAGCCTAAATTCTATGAAATATAAACCTTTATCACTGGAATCGATACGCGCGCCTGATGTAAGTTTATAAGGGAGAAGACCGTTAATTTGAATTGTCAGCAACATATTTGAGTTTGGCACCCCACGTATTCTTGACCGACCTTTAGGAAGTTCTTCGGTGATCTGTTCTCCTGATTTAACTTTGGCGCGAAAAAGACGGCTGACTTTAAGTTTTCGCCTTACGCGCAGAATGCTAAGTTAAACTAATAGGTATTGCATTTATTTCTCAAAGAAGGTAAAGTGCTTACGCCTGACAGTTGTTGAAGTAAACTCCTTTTTTGATTTGTTAGTTCCCCCTCTTCTTTTAAAATTCTACGTTGGTTGGTGTTCCCATATTTAGCTCATGCTCGGACTTCATATCACTTGAACTCCTGAGACGGTTGTCGTACTTGATTTATAACTGAATTTCAATAGAAAACCATGTCTATCGAAATCGAAATGCATAATTTCGCCGAAATGATAAAGTATTCGTCTCACAGTTTTCTTTCAGCTTGAAAGTTTCCTTTCTAACAGTTTCTCTAAATTAAAGCAGTGTCCACTTTTTCTATCTTTACTAACAGAAAAAATAACGATCTTACGACGCTGGTGACCCAGTTAAAACAACGCGTTCAGTGCCTAGCCCAATCAGAGGCAGAACTGATGAAGAAGTTATCGGAAAGCATTGACACGGCTGAGTTGGCCAAAGTGGAAAAAACGAAGGTAATTTAGCTGATCTTTTGATGACGGAGATGTTAGCTAGTAGCCAAACACGTAGTACTCAAAGCACAAATTAATATTCCATTCGTGAGCCAAGAACGATATTCAATAAAAGGAAAATATGAGGCCTTATTTTAGGTGGACACACACTAGAACGAACTATGTGGTCAGCATAAATGTTAAATCTAGTAGAAACTATCAGTTTATGAGCTTTCTAGGCCATTGTTGAACCTATTTTTTGATAAACTTCGGATGGTTGTTTTTACATTTTTGCTTTCTTCTGCTTTTATTATTTAAGTAAGCATAGGACTGCCGTATGTATTCACAAGGAAAGTTTCTTTATGAAGAGAGCATTTATTGCTTACATTTATACCACTCTGCGATATTATCCTCCTTCCTAGTTCTACTATAGCTCACGGAAATAAGCAGATTGCCGACCCTTTTTTGGCAAAGTGACCTATTTAACACCCATCAAAATTGGCTGAAATTGATTCAGATGAACTAATTAACATCATCATTGTAGCGCTTAATATTAGGGACAAATTATCGAATAAGCTTTATATCTGAATGCAACCACCGACATCAGAGAAGCAGAGAAGGCATAGAAGGCTGTTTATTTAGCGAAATTAGGTGTCTTTGATGGAAATCGATTAATAATGTCTCTAGCATGAAATATGTTTTGATTTATTTATACAAAAGGAGCTCCCATGGTAAACACGTAGTCGTCTATTATGTCTCCTGGAAAAATTCCGAACAAAATACGGTGTATTTACCAAATTTGTCAAATGCAGATACTGTCACGAAACCCCATCCTATACGAAGACCATATCATATAGTCTTGAGAAAGGCAGTCATACACGAAGAAAATATCGTATACATATTTGATTCTTACAAGTTTTCGACCAAAAATTTTCGCCACAAAATCAGAGAAAAAGAGGGCAAAACATCAAAGTTACTCCTTTCCTTAGAATTTTTTCTTTTCCAACTATTGTAGCCAGTAGCATTGTAAGCGATAGACTAGAAGCCTCTGCGTCAAGCTTCGTTGGTGGTTTGCGAATATAAGAACGATGTTCGACCGCAAAAGGCTAAACATGATTTTAAGTGGTTGACTGGGACATGCATATTGTAATTAACCTTCGAATGTACTTTTCATTGGCACATCCCGCGAGGTAAATACACATATATCTAGTTTGTTTCAGAGTTTTGTGCCCAGTCTGTAGTGAAGGATTATCTATACTCCATGGCTTTATTTCACCTATTGAAATTCTTTTACTTCCCGCCCATTTCACGTTAAACACACATATAAACAATCAGTCTTTTGTAAGGTATACTTTTAAAGTAAACACACCAACATTTTTTCATATATGTTCGGACTGGGAATAAGAGCCCGTGATTAATGTCCTAAAATAGAATTCCATTGCCTAGAAGCCTACAGTGCCCCTTCTTTACAGGCTTGTCTTATTGATGTAATAATTTTTCGCTGTGTAACAACAACAAATTTGATCAAATGGCTAAATTTATACATCAAATGCGCTGTGAAATTACTGCTTATGAGACTATTGCGGTTAATTTAAACATGGACGTCCACGGAGACAATAGTAAACCTTAGGTCAACTTCTAAATCAACTGCGTATTGTTAATTTTGCATCGGTTGACGCAGAAACGTACCTGCGGTGCTTGTAGTTCAGCATATGCATGCGAAAACCAGATACCAAGTAAGGGCATCTTGGGATTCGGGAGTATTCATATAATCACTGTTGATTTCTAAAGTAACTGAATATACAGTATGAGTTTGAGGTAAATTAAAAAAAACACTCTGAATTCCACGATAGGAAATGACCCGAAAAGTGAAGCATCTGACAGGTAAAGAATTACTTTAAGGGAATAAGTTAAATTTACGCAAAAGTGCACTTGATAAAATAAAATTAATTTCTCCTCCTAAAAATTGCTATTTTTTTGCTTCAAAAGTTTAAATTATTTTAACAGGCTTAGTTCGAATATCCTATGCATAGAACAATTTACACCCCTTACCATAACCTTCCGAGTTTAGCAGATAGAAAGGCCAACATCGATAACAGGTGTGATAAGTAATGTAGGCTTGATGATAAACAGACCTACGGCTATAAATTGTGGGTCAGGACTAGCCAGACTCTCTGCTGAGGATAAGACCAGATGACGAAATAGTGCGGATTCTTTTATATGCTCCGCCAAAAGTTTGTGGTTTAACGTGTTGCAAATTATGCTATTGCTATCAATCTAAGTTGCGCATCACATTAATGTTGTGAACGGCAGTTATGCAAGTTCCATTTAGAAAACCTTACCTACTTAGGAGTTACTTCAACAATAGTTGTTGCACTGGCGCGTGGAACGTTTTATTAATCGAATGCCTCCGTCTGTTGTATTTTCACAGCATGTTTGTTTCTCAATCTAACAATTTAAAAGATATATTTGATTATCCAAACAAAGTTATTTTAGTTTTAAGCACGGACGCGAACGTACAGGTCGAGGTGAGCAAAACAGCCAAAGCTTTCTCTTCCTGCGTCCCGAACTCCATCATCTGAATAGAAACAGAAGGTGCGCAAACATTTACAGTCAATCCACTATGGGTGTTTGATTTCAGGCGGTGCATTTGAAAATGATATCAATATTCAAGTGATCCCTGCACGGGCTTATTGAGTTATGATGGATATAATGATTTTTTTCTCAGGAGGGCGTAGTGGCACAATGATATTAGTCCTGAACAGATTTATGGCTAGACTATATTCTACTTCCAGGGTATGCTTTCATAGGTTCAATTGTATACATAGTAAGATACAAAATGGATGAATAAACGTATTGTCCCAGCGATCGAGTCTTCTTCTTCTCAAGATGCAAAATCTTCATATTGAACCTGTGGCAGAGATTTTCATCTGGATTAAAAGTGAAAACTATCACAGAAAAATATTGAAAAATGTATAATTAGTAGGTGAACTGATGGAAATTATACAAAATATCAAAAAAGGCCGAGTTGGAAATAGTTAAATAAGCAGGATATTTTGGAAGTGTGAAATATAAGTATTTAACACTGAACTTTCCTTTGAATAAAACAGAAACCTACAAAGCCCCATTGGGTAAGTACGAATTGCGGAAACGGTTTTAAGTTAGGAAAAGTGTTCAAACGATTGGCCAACAGTTTGGGAATAAACAAAAAAAATGATTTGTAGAAGTGTAAGTAAAGTTTTCCAACTAAATATTATTAGGAGAAATTTTATACTCATCTAAATCACGAATCTCGATTAACCCAATACTAAAAAGCCATTACCGCACACAT